GTGGGGTGGGGAACATTCTGGGTGCTTTCTAAAAGTACACAAGAAAAATGGAGACTAAGAGCAGACTATTGACTGCAGTAACCCAGCCCCAAGCACCAGGTGAGGCAGGCGTTCCATTCCTCCCCCTCCCCAAGGCTCACTACGCCCCATGACTAGCGAGGCACATTAACTCACCCCAATCAACACAGCCAGTTAAGTTGTGGGCAAAGTCAGGCCCAGAGTACCAAAGGGAAAATGCTCCATCCCATCCAATACCCACACCCCACCAATTCCCTTTGAAATATCATTCTATGGACAGCACCTTAAGATTGCTGAATGGGGTGCGTTGTGGCTGAAAACGATGGAGCAGCAATTCTCTAAATGCAAGTCACTGGGAAGAGGAAGGCCACATGTCAACTCTCCTGTGTCAACACTGTCAAACGTCTGGAACGCCAGGGTTCTCTGATTCCAAACCCAGTAAGTGCACTAGACAGAGAAGAGAAGGTGTTGACACATCAGGGGCAAAAGAATCTAGGGAGGAAAAGAAAGTAGATCCATTGCCAAGTCCGGGATGTGGGAAACCTCCTTCACCAAAGAGCAGTGAGGGCTAGAGACACAGGGTGGAGTGGCAGAGATCCTCAAGTAGTAGGAGCTAGGGCGCCTTCCTCTCTTCCTGGCCCTGGGCAGGGAGTTTCGGGCTCGGGTTGAGCTGGTGACAAGGGGAGTGTGGCCCTCCTTACCTTGTCAGAGTCCCGGTTGAACCTGGCCTGGCACAAATGGTACAGGAAGATTTCAGATCCCGGGAACGCATATGCCAGGTGCTGAAGTAGTAGATGCTGACCACACTGAGCTAGGCCACACTGGGCTGGGTGCCCCGGGATGCAGCGCGCGGAGCGGCTCGCAGATTCTGTACCATGATTCCAGCAAGCTCTGTTCCCTTGCACCAGAAGCGCTGGCTTTCACTAAGGTCCTCTGAGCTGTCCAGCACACATTAAGTGCCAGTCCCAGCCTCAGTCGGAGGTGGAAGCTTGGTAAAGTGGTAGGTTGTGCCTCTCCCCACGCCCACACTCCCCACTATGTGCAGTGTGATCCCTTGGCTTTGGGATCCCTCAGTCCAGCTGTGCAGTGCACTGACACCTGCTCCGGCCCAAATCCAGGTCACACACACTCCAGATCCCCAGCCAAAGGAAGAGCTATGCCAGCGAGCATCTACACTCTACATGCTTTTTTATTACAACACTACCTCGCATATGTGTAAAATTCATCATCCAGCAACTACATCTAAATCACAAATATTTGAAAAAAAGAGAAACAGATTCATTAAATTATGATATGATTAAATCATTGACCAAATAGAAAATTTATATAATAAAGCCAGAGAAAAAGTTGTAAAATATAGTTTACAATAATTATTCACATTCAAGGCTGTACATCAATACATATAACAACCTGGCCCCGAACATGAATTCAATCCAAATAATTCATATATTAGATTTTAAATAACACAGACTGAATTAGAGGCCAACAATAGCCAGCAAATAACCTTATATAAGAATAAAAATACAAAAGTGTATATCCTAATATCATTGCATTATTTGTTTTCATAAGTTTTTTTAAAATTTTGCTTTGCCTGTACATCACAGTTACAGCTACAGACCAGGTAGAGAATATTACACATGTTCTAACTGACTGCCACCAACCCGAAAGACAGCTAACAGACTACTGACTCGTCCGGTTTTGTGTTAAGGAACAGGTACAGCAGCTCTAAATACTGCGAAATTTAATTTTGCCAATGTTCGAACTCATGACGGTGATAGAGGCTTTTCACCCACAAAATGACCCCTATTCATAGTCATTCAGCCAGATGGGTTAAACTAGGGTGAATCTCGCAGCTAAAAAAGGTTTGCCTTTTGTAAAAAGGTCTCTGTACATAAAGTTTGGTGTTTCCTCACATTGAAGAAATTAGTTACGGGAAAATTCAGGTATACTCGTAAGCTTGTTCAGTGGCACGCCGCAGCTGTCTGAGCCAGAGAGAAAACTGCTCTCTGCTGGAACAGCTTCCTCCCCAGACCAGCTCCCCGCAGGCAGCCCGATTTACAGCCCCGCCAGCAGCCTGTGCCCCTCTCAGAGGCTCTGGGGGTGACTCTGCCCTGATTTAAAGCACTTGACAGGTAGCTGCTCAAGAGGCCAGGGCCACACCCACTTGAGTCACCATCAGTTCAGGTTAGGTTTGGATATGAAAAGAAAGAATATGGAAAAACGTGTATGGCAACATGTCCAAGAACAATACCGGCACCAAACTCTCCCAGCACCTGCAGCCTCTGCAGTCTGGGCAGTGAGCACGCTCAGCCTATGGACTGGCCGAGGGAGGGGGCTCTGGGTATCAGAAGAGGGCAGGAGACCTAATTCTGTACAATTCAGCCATAATCTGTGGCAG